TTGTATGTCCTTTGAAAGGTTAATAGTCTTGTTTGCTAAGCCTGAGCTGCTTAAATAATAATAAATAACTTTTATTTTGAATTTCATTCTTTGTAAGGGAAGTTATTGCTGAATTTCTATAGTACCATCTTTAGATATTTAGTTCATTTTATAGGGCAGTGGTTCTCTTCATGTTTGGATATAATACTTTCTTAAATTCTTGTTGGTTGGTTTTTGTTTTCAGTATTTTGATCTTTTTCCAACTCTTCCTGCTGCTTTAAGAATTTTAAAATCTCTTAAAGCCTAGGTTTATTTTCTTGGGATTCAAGATAAAATATTCACTCTTTAAATACTTTCCTAATTTAAACCAGTGTATTTTATCACTAATGTGCATGTAGAACTGTATAGAATTTAAATGGATTTTCCAACTACCAAATTAGATTATTTCAAAATATCAGCTATGTTTGCCATTCATCTGGTTTTGAAATAGAGATGGTCTGGAATTTGTCCAGAGACCTCATTAGAGTTCTGTTATTACAGGGAGATGCCTTCTCTAGTCCTAATCTTTTTGGCTTTATAGGAAGAAAAAAAATGAAGCTGGGCGTTTTCTTTGGCTATAGAGCAGGAACATCTACAGAATCTCTTTTATTGTGGCCTTTTGTAGTTTTTACCTCGGCTCTAATGTCTGTCATTTTAGTATGAAAAGAGCCACTAAACCAAAATAATATATGTAGCTGGCCTCTTCAGTGGCAAGGGGGTGTTAGTTCTTTTTAGTGTTCGTGAATTTCAAAGAAATAGTATTATTTATGTCCGTGTTTTCCAATTTTGGCCATGATCCACGTAAGACATACATTTTATGTCACTGCCCAAAACATAATATGCATGTGAACTACATACTTATATAAAAAGTCTTAAAACATATAATTGATGAAACAACTTGCCTTTAGTATCAGAGTATAATGCACTCTAATATTTCCTATCCTGGCTTATTCTATTTCATTTTTTAAAATGCTATTTGTGAGCCACTAAATTGATTTTCAACTTACCAGTGAGTGGTGACTTGAATTTTGAAAGGCATTTTTTAGTAAGTATGTTTATCCATAGATTAATATCTATTTCTAATATATATGTTTTTGAAAACTTTCTAATGTCTTTCAAAACTATTTTGATGATCTTACAACATTTTTAAGTAATTTTTCTTGTTTTCATACATAGATAATGTAATATAAAATGAGAGAGATGGTAAATTCAAATCTTAACCCAGATATGTTTGAAGAGTGTTCAGCATTGCTACATACTTTACAGTAGTTGAATCTAGCCAGCATGGCCCAGTAAATGTGGTTATGCTGCAAGTCTTTCAGAGAGGTAAGTTAGGCTTTGAGCGTAGTTTGACCCTTAGTCTGACTTTAAAATTAATACAAAATCCATTGTAATTATAAGTAATTCTGAAATTAAATTGAAATCACAAGAGATACATAAAATGTTTTAAAAATAGATCTTTGGTTCTTTATAGAAACCAATCTAGATTTTGGTTTTAAATTAACAGTTGCTTTTAAACATTTGTTTTTTATTTTTATTTTTTACTTATACATGAACATACATACATTTATTGTCACATTTTCTTTTGCTGTGAGCCATCACAAAATCCTGTATATATTTCCCTGTGCTACACAGTACAATCTTCTTTATCTATTCTACATTTTTAAACATTTGTTTTTTAAAAGTGTTTTTTTTTATTATTGAAGAAAAGAATATTTGTGTTATCCTCATGAAGTTAATGTCCAGCAGGTTGTTATATCCTGTCTTAAGATCATTGTAGTATAATGATTTTCTTTGAATTAGCTTATAGATTTGAAAAATGTAAGTTATTATTACTACCTTAAGTTTATAAACACTTTACATTGATCAAAACATCATATATACATATATATTTGTATTTACTCTTTTCTTCCTTTTTCAGTTTTATTAGGTAGAATTATTACAGTTTAACTGTGCATATACATTATATTGCATATAAAGCATATATACAATAAATGCACTTTGTTTTAGTTTACATATATGTACTGATCAGTTTCTAAGAGCAGATTAGAGCTTTAGATTTTTAAAGGAATAAAGCCAACCACAAAATAAGAATCAACAGAATGCAGTAATCCAATCATAAAGGATAGTCATATGTGCTTACTTATATTCAAGAAATCAGTCATCTAAGTTATAAATAAGTATTTTGTTTGTGTCCTTTTTTTTAGATTCCACATATAAGTGATATATGGCACTTTTCTTTCTCTTTCCTGCCCACTTCACTTAGAACGACGATCTCTACGTCCATCCATGTTGCTGCAAATGGCATTATTTTATTCTTTTTCATGGCTGAGTAGTATTCCACATGTATGTGTATGTGTGTGTGTGTATATGAATACACCACATCTTTACATTGATCAAAACATTATACATACATATATATTTGTATTTATTGTTGCAGTTATATGATGTGTAGGCAAGGCAGGTAGAAGATAATTGAACCAGGTCTAAGACCCGCGAGTATTGGCTCATAGTGTTTGTTTCTACTGGTTCTAATTGAAATAATGCTTTTTTGGTTTACCAGGTACCTTTATGAAGTATTTTGAATTTACCAAGTAGTTTTAAATCTTTAACATAAAGAATGCTTTTGGAAGCTTTGTGAAGTTTGTATAAATATGGGTACCACATTTATTTTACCACCAATCAAATGAGGTAGGAAAGGTAGAGTTGTTTGTATTTCCAGATGATTAGGCACTAATGATCACATCTTAGGGGAGAAGGTGTATTGGTAACTGATTTGACTTAGGATTATTGAAATGACTGAGAAGAAAGAATAAAGTGGCAACAAGTGGCTAATAGGGATAGGGAAATAAATTCTGTTAATCATATCACATTATTTAGTAATATTTTGTTACTCTTATCTGTTTTGCTTCTCTGAATGTAATTAAGAACCTAGGCATAATAATAGCATATTACCTTGTTGAGCATTTTCCATATACCAAGCAACCATCTGGGAACTTTTTCTGAAAAATAAATTTATATATGTATGTATTGTGAAATGTTTCATACATGTTTAATAGTGCATAAAACATACTAGCATCTTATATTATTATAATACTAATAAATCAAATACTTATGTGCTTTGCACCCCTGATTAGAAAGAGATCATTACCAGAATGTTAGAAGTCTTCAGTCTCTCCTGATTCCTGTCTCTTCCCCATTTTATTCTCTACATGCCCCAGGTATCCACTAATCCTCACCTTTGTGTGAATTTTCTTGCCGTTTTTTCTCAAATAATGTTACTGTCACTTATGTATATCTAAACAGCTTGGAATTTATTTTGAAAGATTGAGAAGTAAGTACACAATCTAGTTGGGTAAGGAAAGAGCAGTATTGCCACTATTTGACAATACTTCCCAGAAGAAGATAAGCTGAACAGAATCTCTGGATTATAGTTTGGCTTTGATTTCTTTGAGTTTAAGAGGAATCTCTTCTTTGGAAAGCATTGGGCAAGTGAGCCCTGGGAAACATAGGATTCATCATAGCTTGCAGTTTAGGTACTAGACATCTGGTAGTAATATGATCAGGAAATGTATTTTCTGCCTTTTAGTTCACTATGTCCTTACCAGGAATAGGTGGAAAGTAGAACACCTTAAAGCTTTTGCTTTGTAAAAGAAAGTGACAAGAAAATGAACTTGCAAGCCGAAGACTGGGAGAAAATATTTGCAAAAGACACTTAGTAATGACTGTTATCCAGTATATACAAAGAATTCTTAAAACTCAACAGTAAGAAAACAGCAACTCAATTAAAAACTAGGCCAAAGACTTTAACAGACACCTCACCAAAGAAGATATACAGATGATATAAATGCAGATGAATTCTAACAAACATTTAGAAGATAATTAACACCTATCCTTCGGAAACTATTCCAAAATCTTATTTACAAACCAAAAATAGACTCACAGACATAGAAAACAAACTATGGTTATCAAAGGGGAAGGGAGGGGGAGGGAAAATTAGAAGTGTGAGATTAATAGATACACATTGCTATGTATAAAATAGATAAACACCAAGGATCTACTGTATAGCACAGGGAATGATATTCAGTAGTCAACATAATGGAAGAGAACCTGAAAAAAAAATATGTATGTGTATGTATAACTGAATTGCTTTGCTATACACCTGAAACTAACATTGTAAATCAACTACACTTCAATAAAAAAAAAACCAAAATTTAAAAAAAGGAAAGAAAAGCCATGAAGGAACCTAAAATGCATATTAGTAAATGAAGGAAGCCAACCTGAAAAGGCTTCAGACTGTATGATTCCAGTTACCTGACATGGTAAAGGCAAAAACTATGGAGACAGTACAGTAATAAGATCAGTAGTTTCCAGGAGTTAGAGGGGAGGAAGGAATAAAGAGGTGAAGCACAGAAGAGGTGAAAATATTCTGTATGATATTGTAATGATGGATGCATGTCATTATACATTTGTCCAAGCTCATAAAATGTTCACCAGAAGTGAGCCCTAAGGTAAACTAGGGGCTTTGAGTGATTATGATGTGTTAATATAGATTCCTCGGTTGTAACAGATGTTCCACTCTGGTTATGCATGAGTGGAGGCAGGGGGTATAGGGGAAATATCTGTACCTTCCTCTCAGTTTTGCTGTGAACCTGAAAATGCTCTAAAAAGTAGTTTTTAAAAAAACCCAACACTTCAGTATATTCAAAGTATCCTCAGTTCATCCAAACATGAGGAAATGGGGGAAAGAGAAAAAAATACTTCATCAGCATACTGTCAAAACAAGCCAAGGTTAGAAAAGAATTTGGGCAAAGCTCACCCACACAATTTGTCTTTGGGTCAAAAAGAGATGGTACAGTAGTAGGAGATGTTTTGATGATGACAGCTTTTTATAATGAGTATCCTGTTTCCTGTATTCCATACATTCTTAATTTGCTATCACTTTTTGGTAGAGTATATATTCTTGTATAGCCTTTCTCAAGGGAGTTCCTGAGAGGGAAGTAAAGAAGGCCTATAGAAAATAATATAGGTGAATATTTTCTCAATTCTCTCAAGAATATGATACATGGGTAGAGCCATTATAGATGCATGGGAGAAAAAAGTTAATTCATTTTGAAGACTGGATGTTTTACTGCATTAAGCCTAATTCTATTATAGAATTCCAGGTGAGAATGGCCACTCTAATAAATTCTTTAAAAATATACACGTAAAATAAAATTTTAAGACTTTGTATATCTGAAAATATCTTTATTTTACCCTAATATGTAGTTGATAATTTGGCTGGGTATGGAATTCTAAGTTGAAGTTCACTTTCCTTCCAACCTTTAACGCATTGCCAGTACTTTTATCTTGCTTCTAGCATTGTTGATGTCAGTACCTTATCTGACTCCTGATCTTGGTGCTGTGGGCAAAAGGATTTTTTGCTAAAAGTAGGATTGGTTCTCAGTTTTTACCGCTGCTGGTTTCTGATTCAACTTTCTGAATCTGCACGACAGTAACTACAAGTTCACTTCATGCTTTCCAGTGTCAAATTGATGTTGATAAATCCTCTCCAGAGTACATACTTGTGGGAAACATACCGATACTTGATCATTTTTTTAAAAAATACCCCTTTTCTGTAATTTTTGTCAAGTTTTAGAAGGGAATACATTAGGTCAGCATCTATACTCTACCATTTTAACCTGGAAGCTTTATTGATTTTACACATATTATCCAATTTGATCCTTGTAACAACCTATTATATTGGTACTATTATTAGCATTTTATAGATGAGGAAGCAGAGAACCAGAGAAATTAAGTTAATTACTCAGATGCATCCAGCTAGGATTAAACCAGGATTTGAACCCAGGTAGTTTTAATTCAAATTCTATTTAACCATCGTACTGTAATTGTCTTTTATGATGTTATGTTTTTTATGCCTTGAAAAGCATGCACCATTACATGAATTAATTATAATTATTTCTGTACTGCCTGTATTTAATGGTAATTTTTATTTCATGACATGGAAAAAATTAAAAAAAACACAAAACCTGTTATAGTTGTGGGTATCAACCATAAGTTACTTATTTTTTATCACTAATTGATTTCGAAGTGCCTTTGCCCAAGAAAGAATATGTGTATAGGAAAATGAGTTTGTTTGTTTTTAAGTGTCCTTTCTAGCTAAGAGAAACAGTCTCAGATTCCATGGAATTATATGAGTGGAGAACCAGCCTTGAAGTGTATGCATAACGAAGAAGGAAACTGAGATCTTATAGTAATATACCTATAAAAATGAACTGCTAAATCAGTTATAATTAAATTGGTTGTTGTCTAGCTAAGGGAGTGTATTTCCAGGTTGAAATAACTGTGATCAGAAAAATCAATCTAGGGGATATAAAGAAAGTAATTGACTTAGAGCTTTTTAACTTCAATTAAGGTGTAGAGTAAGGTAATTGGATTTTAATATAACTAGGAAAGAATTCTTTGGAATTTAAAAAATTAGATATAAAGAGATGACATCATGTATTATTTTGGCTATAGGTGCTTTCCTGTTAGATTTAATGATGTGGGATCATACCAGTCACTTACTTTTAATCTAGAAAAAAAGATGTTTTCATTTGTTCTTGTGATAGTAAAGTTGCCTTTTTAAATAAGAGTTTTAAGTGTGAAAATACTTGTTGGTATATTATATATTTTGAAAAGTTTAAGTGTAATGAGAAGGAACCATAGCAGCTCTTTCAAAGAAACATATGGGAGCATACAGTATTATTATGGTGTCCTTTTAATCTTTTGATTGATTTGCATTAACACTGTCTTGATGACTAATATATCCCTACTAGAGGTAAAACAAATGTTTATTCTCTGCTTTAGTTGTGGGACTCCATCAAAACTGTACTTGAAAGAATATCTTTCCTGATGAATTCTTAATCATGGCTGAGGCAAGCAGTAGATTAGATATAAATCTAGAAGCTTCAGGGAAGATAAACAGTGTTATATTTATATCTATTTTTGAAGTAAGCAAAAACTGGAAAAGGAAAGAATCGGAAGAGGTGGGAAGTGTGGTAGATACTATAAAAACATAATGGGTATGACAAGAGGACTGCATTTTTTGAGAAAAGAAGAGAATTTGATTTTATTATTTCATTCTGAATCTCTAAATATTGATCCTGCTTTGTCTTCCTAAAGCAGCAATTGAATGCAGGGCATTACTGGTTTGATAAAAAGGTAAAACAGTAGAATAGCTTTTCTTGTTTATCAGTTCATTAAAAAAAACAAAACAAAAACAGCAGCTTGGCTTAATGCCTTTTCTGCCAGTCTCTTTCTCTATCTGTTTATTGCTGATTTGACAGTCTCTGGTCCTTCTCCTTTGCTGTTAAATGTGTGTGTCCTTTGTTTGTGCTGGTGGGTTTTGCTATATTTGGATGTGAGAGAAAAGCCTGTCATTGCTATACTGGTCTAATTAGCCTTCTGGGTGAGCATATACGTTAAATAGACCTTCTAAGCCATGAAAGAAGAGGGCTCAGAACAACGTAGATTTTCTTCCTGTACCGTGGTTTCGCCTGTTTTATTTCCTCCACGAATTGATGGCCGAAAGCTTGTCCGGAATGCTTCATTTGGAGGATACAATGAACTTTCTCCTTCGTTGCCAGGTTTGTTTGTTTAATCTTGCATTCTTTTCTTAATTTCTTATAGACTTTTCATTAAAATAAGCTAGATATTTTAACATCTTAAAACTGCTTTCATTTAAACAAAACAATTCTATAGTGAAAGGTTAGGTTTTAGTAACTGCTGCAATAAGGCTTGGCTTTCCTGTATTTTCTCGTACAGTCTCTTAAGCTAGAACTTGAGAACTAATGATTCAATAAAGTATGAATCTTGAGGGCTTGTAGCATGAATTTTTGCTTTAATTATACAAATAAATATTATAATCTTTTGATAAAACTAAAGCCTTTTTCTGGACTTTAGAAAAATGTAAAATTCTATAAATAAACAAATTGCTCTGAGATTTTTGCAAATGAAACCCACATATTTAATATTAATATTTTCTGCAAAATAGTAACTATATGAAAATTGATGTTTAGTTCAAACTTTAATAGCTTAAGTCCTGACTACCTAAATATAATTTTTGAAATGCCTTATTTCTTGTTCTTTGATGTTTGTGTACAATGAGTTTTTGCTAAAAAATGTTATTTTTAGGGTAATATTTATTAAATGAAATTAGGCATTTGATGGCTATGATTTAGACATTAAACAATTGATCAGTGAGATACAGATGTAAAATGATCTTTTATTGTTTGAAAAAGATTTATTGTAGCATATATTGGGATATACATTTTAAAAAATAAACAATCTTTAGTTTCTTCTCAAAATTTTAAGCTGCTGTATAATTATATCTACTTTTTAAGATTATATGTTTTTCTTTTAAAATAAAAATATTCTTTTAACACTTACAGCAAAGAAATATTGACTGAAACTGGTGTTTGTTTTAATCGTTTATATATTTTTCTGACACGTACTTTGTGAAATTTGATTTATATTTTCTGTTTTCACTCTAACTTTTATTCTTGGCTTTTTGTGAATATTCATGGTGATAGGCAGTATATGCATTCTTTGAAATAGTGAAACTTTGTAACACTTTATACAAAACACTTTATAGAAAGTGTTACCTGGGCAGTTAAATAAATTGTTATAAATTCACTGATTTCATTTTCTTTTCTAACTTGTTTCTGAAAAGATTTGGAAACCATAGTCCTGAACTGTTCCCTAAGTAGCATAAGCTTTAAACAGCATTCTTAATCCGTGTTCAGTCTTCTTAGTGTAGCATGGTACTATCACGCATCTTTCCTAGGGTTCTCAAAATGGTGTAAATTTGATTATTTGTCTTTGTTCAAAAGTGGCTCAGAAAATACCTAAGTTTTTTAATATTCTTAAATACTTTCTTACTTCACAATGTGACTTAGTTCCATTTCTGTATTTGTCTCCATCTCCTTGTTTTTCTTTTTTTTAAGCCAGCAAGCTTACTAGCACGTTTGCTGACCTTCAT